CAGCCGTCTAATATGCCGTTTGCGCTCAAAACATCTCGCTGTGCCCTGGCATTAGCACCTGTCTCGGATTCGCGGCTCATGAACTGCTCCCGAAGTGCTCGCTATTCTAGCGGACGGATATGTTGCTGTGGTGGATGTTCATCCGAAGTTGGTTGGTTTCGGAGCAGACGACTCTTGGCTTGCAGACGACAGCCGGTTTCTCCGGGTCTCGCGCCTCGCGTTTGACCTGGTCACACAAATGCTCCCGTGGCGTTGGGTCACGTGCCTCGCTTCGACGCTGTTACTGGGTAGCGGGGCCCCCTAGCCTCCACAGTTTCGCCAAGTTATCGTGAAACGAAATACACACGAACTCAGCTCTGTTACGTCACGGCGCGGTGGTGGCGCGTCGGGCGCACTTTCGGGTTGGGGGATTTGGGCGGAATACGCCATGCGGGGCGTGCATTCCTGTGTTGTTTTGGAAGAAACCAGACGAAAAGATGAGAGACGTTTGCCATTCCCTGTAATGCCGAGTTAGAGCGCAGCTCTTCATGAGGAGGATGGGAGGGTACGAAGAGGAGGGTATGGCCCTCCTCTTCCCTCTCCCTTCCTCCCCTAATTCTCTTTCTCCCCCTCCTCCTCCTCTCATTCTTCTCTCTTTTTCCTCCCTCCTCCCTCGTGACGTCACTCGTGACCCCCATGACGTTACTCGTGAAGGCCTTGTGAAGGTCGTGACCTTCACTGTGGAGGTTGTGACCTTCGTTGTGACCTTCGTGACGTCACTCGTGACCCTCGTGACGTAGCGTGTGACGTCATTATGGGAAAAGTCCCATAATGCAACGCGGGGTTACGCCGACGCCGCTCGAGCCGGAAGCGGGCGCCTAAGAGCTGCGCTCTAAAACGTGCCTACTCGTCAAAGCGCCGCGACTGGGACTGTATCTGAAGGAGTCAGGAAAGGGTTGAAGGTCAGTTTTATGTGTTTGCTACCTGCTCGGTTCGTCTTAGAACGTGGATAGGGGCCGTGAAAAGAGCTACCAAGACTCCGTCGGACCACGATTGCTTGTGCGGGAAGCACCTTGAATTGAATTCACGGATAGTTGTGGTCGTCAGATTTAATTGTTTTGTTCCAACATGAACGCGGGAAAACCGCCAAGTTGTACGGACAACCTGCGAATTACGCTTAGTGCGTCTTCAGGTTCAAACGGCCGCCTGATCGTTTGAAAAATGAGGCGACAGTTGCTGAACGATCTGCTCTTTCAAACGATTCTGCTTGTCGTCTGCTCGTTCAAACGACAGCGGCCGTAGACCAAACGTTGACCAGGTGATTCCGATAGGAAATAAGTGCAGGCCTCAAAAGACTTTAAAGTTTGAATGTTGGTGGGGAAAGTAGGCTCGGTGTAAACAGTAGATACAACGAGATGTTGGTAATTTTTAAGACTGGCCATCACCGACTTGTATGCCTGATTCAATTGGTCCGATTCTGCTTGCGATTTTGAATATCGACGTCGACCATCTCAGCTAGGGTTCACGCTTTTGCAGCCCGAGTGACGTCATGACTGAAAATTGCGAGCAGAATATCATCATGCGAATCAGGCTGTAGCGTCCATTCTGCTGCGTCCACGCGGAATGAATCGCCGCGCATCACATTATTCACGCGAAGTTAGTTAGAGCACGTGGCTTTAATTAAGTTTGGCAGTTTAAAACAGGAAAGAAAGCGCGAACGAAGTTCGGACAATCCATGCACCCAACACCCACGAAGCCTCTGATCCGGGACTATCACTCTTCCTAACGCACCAGCAAGGGGAAAAGCGCCGGCAGCCCTTTCCCCGATTATCTCTCGCCCTCTTTCAGTAAAACGACCTATAGCGGAATCGTGCGCGTGCCCTCTCTCTTGTTTTACCCCGCCGAACCTGCTGAACTTCCCGGATGTGTGGAGAGTGCGCTGCGGTCAAACAAAATGGCGCCTCCCTGAGAGCGCTTACTGGAATGGTCTTTATACTTATCGCGAATGGTTACAAGGATATTCATACCTCCTCATTCCCTGGGTCCCCAAACGGGTACATTTGGAAAGCATGCGCCGTCAACTTATATTAAATAGTATAGACACGAAACCGAACGCACCCGTTTGGGTACTAATCAGTTCTCAAAACTGCCGCTAGATGCCACGAGTTGGCCGCGCTCAAACTTGTCAGGACGTGAAGATATGGCGGGCTCCAGCAGCGAAAACGTGCGTCGCCGGGCGGGTAAGTTAAAGTCATCGTACCTTCACAATCGCGCGTAAAATTTTGTTTCTTTGTGTTGACATCGCTTCATAACAAGAATGTCCAATCTCACAGCAAACTGTAGCACTTTAAGCACTTTATTATTTGAGATATCTTCGATTCATTATTGAAGTACCCAGTTGGGTACCTCAGGTCACGACTCGGCGTCGAAAAAATGTATTGGATGTCGAAACTACGCAAACTTGCTTCACCCGATTTTATTTTTTTTTCAGAAAAATTTCTAACGGATGAAGAAATAGAGCAACTACTCAATCAGAGTGATGTAGATGTGTCGGACGACGAAGACACCGTGGACTATTTCCACGACAGCAGTGACGATGAAACTGATAGTGGTGACACTGACACAGAAGTCCCACGAAGCAAGGGCCAAGAAAAAGACAAAAGGCGTGATCCTTTGTGGAAAGTCAAAGAGTAAGAATCAGACTAAAACTGTGTTTTCTGTTTGAATCTAACAATAACGCCTTGTTTTCAGCTTCCCAGCCCGCTTCGCGGATTCGCCAGTTTTGCCTGAAGTCCACTCGAACGCCCCCAGTTCAGCATTCAACTATTCCAAGAAGTATTTTCCACAGAGTTTCTGGAAGTTATGCGCAGATCAGACGAACCTCTACTCTGTCCAAGTGCGAGCTCACAGATCAGTGAAGACAACTTCATTGGAGTTGCAGAAACTGGCCGGAATTCACATGATCATGAGTCTTTTTGGACTTCCGAGGGCTAGGCTGTATTGGTCTAGTACGTTGGCAGTGCCGCTTGTCACCGAGAACATGGTGCGCGACCGATTTTTCGAGCTGCGTAGTATGTTGCACTTCGTCGATGTGACAGCAATCACGGAAGCCCAATCGCAAAACAAGTTGTTTCGAGCAGAGCCTATTTTCGAGTGCTTCCGAAAGGCTTGTCTTGAGCTTCCTCGCCCGGAAAAGCTCTCCATCGACGAGCAGATGATACCCTTCAGTGGACGGTGTCCTGCTCGTCAGTATGTCCCCAGTAAGCCAAACCCCGTTGGCTTGAAGAACTTTGTCCTGGCCACAACTGAGGGGCTTGTACTTGACTTTGTGATTTACACGGGGAAAGGAACCGTTCCCGATCATGACCTGAAGGAACTTGGACTTGGTGGTGCAGTCGTAAAGCGCCTTCTTGAAACAGTCCCGACCGAACAACCCGTCCAAGTGTTCACAGACCGATTCTTTACAGGTCTGAAGCTAGCAGACTTTCTCATCGAAAGGAACATTTACTTGACCGGCACAGTTATGTCCAACAGAACAGGAGGAGCAGCAGCAAAGCTGCCGAGCGACAAAGAAATGGCGCGGGGCGACTCATGTTGCGTTGTTCGCAACGACGATAAGGTCTGCATTACAAAATGGAAGGACAAAAAAGGAGTCACCCTGCTTTCGGCTGCGCTCGGTATTTCGCCGGAAGGAAAATGCAAAAGGTGGTCCAAAGAAGAAGGAAAAAAGGTTGAAATACCTCAGCCAGCATGCGTCAAGGCCTACAACACGGGCATGGGCGGTGTGGATCTAACTGACAGATACGTCTCCTATTACAGGACCAAAATACGTACAAAAAAGTGGACCATTAGGGTTTTTGCTCACTTTCTGGACCTGGCGACGATAAACTCATGGATAGAATATCGGAGTGACTGCAAGCGTTGTGGCGTTGCAAGGAAAGACACTTTGGACCTTTTCGAGTTCAAGAGTAGGATCGCCGAAGCGCTGATTCGTTCATGTCCGAAAGTTCAAGCTGATGGAGAGGAAGATGCTCTGGAGTCAGATGAAGAAAGTGAGTCCGCTCCCCCAGCCAGAAAACAGCGGAAGGTAGTTCCACTTCCGGTCGATGAGGTCCGCTTCGACATGTACGGACATTTTCCTGAGCACGTACCCTGCAAGTCGCAGATGAGATGCAGAAATCCCGGCTGTACCGGAAAAAGCCGCATCCGGTGCACAAAATGCGCCCTATTTTTTTGCTTGCAAAACAGGAATTGTTTTCGCGATTTTCATACTTCCAAGACCTGAGGTACCCACTTGGGCACAACGTTTTTCTCCCTTGCATGTGAAATGAATGTTTTTTCTTTCTGGGCAAATGTATACCAATACCACTCTTGACATATTAAATGAGTTTCATGTTTTTTTCTTTGGTACTTTTCTCTCAGCAAGGATATTCAATAAGTAGTGACTGGCGGGCCTTCAACTCATTTGCTCCGGCATTGGTGGCGAAACGTCTGTATTTTTCTTGATGTCTCGGCTATGGCTGAAGTTTTTAATCAGTGCCTTTTGTATGTTATGGTTAAGGATCAATAAAAAAAAACAGTCTCGCAATATTTCTCCTGTATTGTCACGATTAAAGTGTTGCAGAAAATAAAATATAACAAGTCAACGTTGTGGAAATCGACCTGCGTATTGTGAGTGCCATCCTAATTCTGAAACATTTATAGCTTCTCTATTTCCCTTTTTTTACATGGCGTGATTAAACGTTCCCAGTTACACAAACGTCGTCGACACAATAAGCTTATAGAACCAGACCGCAGCAATATTTATTTTTATTAGTCGGCAACAAATATTTGCCTTATCATTATTTCATTTCGCTGACAAAAGAAAACGCGTCAAAAGGTGTTCTTTTTATAGCGAGTTGATTGATCGATTATCCCCTTTGCTCACCTCCTTTGCTCATCGCGAGTTCGCTGTCACATCTGCTGGAACAAGCTCGTGGGTGCCCGCAACAGAGAACCAAATAGAGCAGAGGAAGATCGCGATGGCCTCCGTTTCTCCGCTGTTCCTTGTCTGCATTGTCTTTACATTCTGGACAGCAAAATGCTATGGCCATTTTGTCTCCGCTTTGAAAACTAACATCGACGTTGACATTCTCTGCGTGAAAGGAGCATACAGCAAGCACTGGGTTGTCTCCTACCTCCGGGCAAACTTTAAGAGTCGGACCTGGTGCGGTGACTGGCATCAGTACCTCGATCTTTTGAACGCGAGCACGACCTACAATCGAGAGACCTTAGTCGTCTTGCCAAGTAATGTTCTCAGACGAAGCCATCTTATTAGACTCATGTCTGCGAAAGTTTACGATTATCCTCTTACTACGTGGATTCTAATCACAAGTCGCGGGAATCCTCTCGAAGTCGAGACGTGGCCTCCTGAACTCCTGTGCCGAGTAGTGGTTGTTTGGCAACACGCCGCCTCGGTCGCCAAAGACCGCTTCTGGAACTGCAAGTTGCGGCGCACGATCGGCCGGAGACAATTGTTGAAGAACCTCTTGCGGGAAAAGAATCGACGGCCCGAATTTAAGAAGATAGCCTCAAGGCCGCTCAAGCTGGGCTGCACGTCCCACGGCGGGCCCAACGCCACATGTCGGTATAAGCCGATGACCCTCATGAAGAAAGTTCTCAAGGTCCTGAATGTCACCTTCGAGACGGTTAGCGTCGCGGATCACAAGTGGATGGACGAGCTCATGTACAAGCGCTTCGACGTGTTAGACGCTAACATCGTTTTTTCGGAGTACCGGCGAGCTCATGTCTTTTATCCCGCGTACCTGTACCACAACGAGGCGGTGTACTACGTTGGAGCGACGGCAACCATGCACAACAGCCTACACCTCAACTCGTCTTTTGCCGAGTTTCTGGCGTTCCTCGTGGCCACCGCTGTGGTCTGCCTGGCGTGTTTCTGCTTCATCAACTACCGTCACCGTCGGCCCCTGAGACAGGACATCGGAGGCATCGGCATGGTCCTCGTAGCAGCGGTGCTCGGCTTTCCTTACCCGGTTCCCGGTTCGTTCGATAGATCCACGTTCGGTCGCACCGTCCTTTTCTACTGGTTACTAGGCGGGACGTCCTTGGCCATCTTCTTCCAAAGTCTTCTGACGTCCAGCGCCAGCTACGGGGTCTACTGGGAAGCCGACAACACGCACGAGAAACTGGTCCCAGATCTCGTGGCCGGAGCTGTGTCGGTGTGCGTGGAACGACCGTTCTTTCACGGGTCCTTGTTGGAGCAGAGGGTCAACGACTCGGACTTCCTGGGACACATGGCCAGGGCCTTCAGGCGAAACCCAACCAATATGGAGACCGCGGACAAGTGCTTCAACCTCGCGACGAAAAGGACCCACGTGTTCCTCACGTCTGAGCACAGCCCCTGCAATTTGAAGATGTACGGGGAGAGGATCGTTCGTGGAAAGGAGACCATGCATCCGACGTTCGGCAGCACTCCCGTGAGAAAAGACTTCCCGCTGAGGGCCGAGTTCATGGCACTCAACCGGAGGCTCGTCGAGACCGGTCTGAGGAAGCACCACGCCGCCTGGGAGAAAGGCGACTGCTCTTTTGTCGAGCAGGCTGACGAGTCGGAGGTTCCTCTGGACGTGAGAGGCTTCATCACCTTGTATCTGGCCGGCTGCACGGCGGCGCTAGTGGTTCTTGTGCTCGAGTGGGTGACCAGGCTGGCGCACCTTTGATGTGAGCTGTCGTTTTGAAGACTGTCATCTCCAGCCTCTTTGCTTGTCGTTTTGTTGCAACGAGAAGAAAACAAAAATTGTGTTGAATAAATAATAAAGAGCGACGAAGATGACAACTGAAACGTTCCAGTGATCTCATCTTGTATTTTTTTTTTATGTGAACCTCTTTATATAATTTTAAGATTTTCAAACCAAGAGGAGGCATTTGCGATCCCTGTCCAGACGCCAAGGATTCCCAGGCGGCCCTCAATGAAACAAAATCTCCAGAAGGACCATGCGAATTCTGCGTTATCGTAAGAAGTCATCAAGCATAATAGTAGCCTGGGTACCCAAGCACTCAAGGGAACAAACTGCCTCATCCGAGCAGCAAAAGCCACTCATGAATTGCCGACAAAACTTCTTCAGAGTGTAAGCCAATGCGGAATCTGACAGATTCTTAAAACATCGGCGATGAAGATTTCCCAATCAATATATCAAGGAAACGTAAGTTCTAACACAAAAACAGCGGTACTGCACATAACACCGGCCTGCTGACTGCTCATTTTCATCGGACAGGTTTGACTGGAATCGTTATACCAAAAACATTTCTCTTACAAAAATAAGCAGCCTAAATCTTTCTCAGGCTTAGAAGTGGTATGTCGATAATGTACCCTAATGGTTCGTTTTAACGGGCGTGTACAGTTTATCATGGTTGACACAAGAAACGCTCACGATAGAAGCAGGCTCAGTGTTTCTTCACTTCGTTAAGTGAACGCTAGAGCTTACGAGCCCGGTCTCTCCTCAGCAGGAGTCGGTGTTATTTAGAGAGTGGATCAAAATTAACGGACACGCAACTGCAAGTTGAACTAAGTGCTGAACAGACACCAAATTTGCATGCTCGCGAACTTAGCCGCATTGTGAAGATACAGTTGAGGTATCCTGGATTCAGTCCTCACCCCTGCCGTTTCGATCTGGATGAGCATCGTAGCGGTGTGCGGTCGTGTATCACTATACCGCGTGGTGCACGTCAAAGACCCCAGGCTAGCGGCTGTAATGCGCTGGCTAAATTTCTCATCTAGAGCTGTGACACAAGACGCCCATTGAAGCTGACTAACTTCCGGCTCTATAATCCTACGCACGACGCAATAGACCGATCTCACTAAGCGTTCCACGCATGCGCAAGGCCGCCATAGCTTAGTCCAGAGGAGGCAGGTGCCACTTGGGTGCCATCGCCTCGTGTCGTCTCGGACTCTGCTGGCGCAGACCCCCAGCGTGGTTGTCGCGCGCGCAGAAAGGCAAAGTCTTCACGATGCATGCCGGCAGCGGTGCCGCAACGAAATTGAATGGTGAGATCAATTTATTTAAAAATAAGATATAGTTTGCATCCACACAACTGCCGCAGCACGTTCTTGTTTCTCGCGTCCGCTCTTGAATCTTCGTCTTCAAAGAGCGTCATTCGCTGTGTGAAAATTGCAGCCGCTATGGCCACGAAAACGTGACCAAGAATCCGCGTGCAGTGGGCGTGGAGGAAAGCACGATCGGTGCAGCTTTCAATAAAACAAACCAAAATGTGTTAACTGGGGCAGGTACCACGGTGGCCTGACTCAAGCGTGCCCAAAGAGTGTTGATCAGAGGTCAGCAGAAGTTCGCAAACGAAGGTACACTACGATTTCCGGTTAGGAACAAACTGATGTCCGACAAGATATTTGTCAACAATCCCAAACGTTGAACCCCGATGATTTTTTTAGCTCACTCGTACTCCCCAAAAAAGAAACACTGACTCGGGTAAGTCGCACCGCAATGTTTTCAAGCTCATTAAAACTTTGGTTTGGGCTAGTTGGTCCATGGTAGGTATATGGTTTAAAAGCGCGAACAGGCAGCTGGGGACAATAGAAAATAACACAAACGACAGGGACAAGGCGCTCGCATACTGTGGCTCTTTGAAAGAAATTTCTCCGTCAAGCTAACATTAAAAAAACGATGTCGATCATTGAAATTCTCTGCCATCTGCTAGAAAAAAATTCCCTACATACATTTCCCAAAAAGCGTTTCCGAGTACTTCGGGATACTGACAGAAAAAAAAAATCAGAAGTCCCTTATGCCAAGAGATGCTAAAGATAACGAGTCTTCTTGGAACTCAGCCCTCTGCAGTTTGTAATTGACATGAGAAGCAATCAACTAAATAGTCACACATCAGTAATGAGCCACAAAAGTAAAGAAATAAAGATCTCGATTTTTATCACTCTTATTTTTCTGCCAGAAAAAGAAAGAATGCTTTCAAGATAGCTTGAGTGTTACAACCGTGCTTCCATGGAATGCCAATGACTTCCAGTCAATGCCCTTTGCTTTTAAGAGACGTGTTTGGAAATATTTTATGTACTTGCAATTACAGAACCTAGCATCAGTGATTATGTAAATTTTAGATTATACCCTTATTGCACAAAAAAGAAAACATCTTGAAATAATCACGTACACTTTATTAGGAATGCAAAACACCTTAATTATTTCGAAGTTTGTGTAACTCACCACGGCAGAAGTGCGTACGTTTGTGCAATTATAAAAGAACAAACTCCGCCATGTTGGCGTCATATCTGCCTACATCTAGGCACGCGACCTTACAAATTGCGACGTCTCGACATCCTTGTGCAGAGCAGCCCTTTCTCGCATTTATAAGGTTTTTTTTTACCCATCGTGAGTTTTGAGGCAGCACCCCGAACGAAAAGGGAGGATGCCGTATTCATGAAATCACGAAGAGGTTGAATTTTCTCTTGTTCGACATCTCACCGAAGCGAAAATGTGATCTGGACTAAACATTTGTGTCAACTGACTATCTGAAACATGTTGCCTGCAGGTAAACTGACCTTGAAACAAGGGAGAATATCCACTTTCCGGTTCTAACGCCTGTTGGGGGTTCTGAGAGAAGCAGAAAACAGGACTCGATGCGTCTTACGTGTTAGTACCAGATTTCTAAGCTCGCAAATAAAATAAATAATAATTACGGCAATAACCAATTTTCAGTTAGTGCCCTCTATATCAGATTGTATCATGCGGGTAACACATAAAATAACGCTCCCCTTTAATCTAACAGATATTATTACAGAACGCGTAAGGTTGCGCGCCAGTCGTAGACAAGCAGAAAGGAAAACCAGACGCACACACGAGGATTATCGCGATGTGCGAAGAATACAAAAGAATTGGTACACCGACATCCCGGTGCGCTCGGCCGACGTGAATGGAGATCTTTGGATAGAAAAGTCTCCCCGCTCATTTCTGAAGACGTGGAATCCTGGCTCCTGTGTATCAACTCTGTTTATTTCCCCTCTCATTGCGTCAGGGTTGCACAGATGTCGAAATTGCCACTGCGTTCTGCAATCGAATTACCCAAAACCCGTGCTACATCAGGTGCCAAAAAAAAAAAAAAAAAGTTGTCTCGTCGCCGCCAAAAGAGGCCTCTGTAGACAAAGCCTTTCAAGGGCGAAGCTCCTTATGGTCTAGCCTTGTCCGTCCGCCCTTCCGTCTGGCCGGCCGGCGTTCGTGCTCATATAAAAAGAAAAAAAATGTTTGCGGAGTCGACAGGATTCGAATCTGTGCGAGGAGACCCCAATGGATTTCTAGTCCACGAGTGCGGGACGAGTAAGGGGCTCTGAGATGTGGTAGTAACTTAAGAGCTGGAGTTCTTGTCATGGATGAAACGTTGCATGTAGCCGTTCAACGTTTATACAGGAGAGGGCGCTGCGGTCAAATGCGTAGATAATCGCGTTAAATTTTGCATGTATTGGCTCAACGTTTATAGACGAGAGGGCGCTGCGGTCAAATGCTCAAATGCGTATATAACCACGTTCCATACCACGCATTCTCTTTCTGACATGGACCGTTGACTTAAGCGGTGGAGATGCGTTCCCACGGCTTTTAGCGGATCCAAGCTGATCCGCTAGACGAACCACTGGCTCTGCATTTCACCGACCATAAAGCAGTAATAATGAAGTCGAAACGCAACCCGGAACTCAGCACTACCTATGAGCAATAAAAAAAAATCAGCACCATCAGCACTAGCTATGGACAATAAAATCAAAATCATCAGCACCACCAGAGATTCGCCCCAGTCAACATCATTTACCACGTGGAGATGCGGTCATTTTTTTACTTTTGAGGAGCGGGTTCACGCCTTGCAGGACTTCAATAATAGATGCTCACCCGCTCCAGACGTCGTAACCTATCCAGAACTCCGTTTTGAAGGGGGGGGGGGGGGGGGGGGGGGCTGGAAAACTTGTAAGGATACTATTCTCCCATTCTTCTAGCGCACCGGGGTCCACCCATGTCAATTTGCCCTCCGAGAAGGGTGGGAAAGCGGCGGGGTCGACTTTGTTTGGGGGGGCGGCCGCCCCCGTCGCGCCCCCCCCCCCCCCCCCCCCTTCTTCTTCCCTTGGATCCGCCCCTGAACCTATTTTACATCTCACGATGGACACTTTTCGAATAAGGTAACCAACCATTTGCTAACGGTGTTCTTCTGCCTTTCTGTAAGCCAGGCAAAGTTTTTGTTTTTCCGAAGGGTGGACGCTCGCCTGTCAAATTGGATCTAAAACAGCGAACTATTTTTATTAAAACAACTTCAGGGACCATATCATTGGGCGAGGAGTTCCACGAGGATGCCTGCCTATGCTCTTCAACGTACCACTCATTTATTTCGGCCACAAGTTTCCAAAGCTAAGTCAGCCCTTAATTTCTGCGGATGACATCAAGATTTGGCAGACACACACCAATCGCTTTGGTAGGCAGATCAGCAAAATCAGCAACTTCAGCAAGAGCCCAAGTGGCTCTTGCTGAAGTTAAGCCTACAGGAACGTGCCATAAGCTTATCCCCAGAAAAAAAAAAAAGGGGGGGGGGGGGGGGGGGGAGTGTCAATGGCATTTCCGTGAATGTCACTAAGATGTTCCCCGCTGGTCTTTGCTGGCAATTCTCACCAAACCAGCGATGTGCCAAATAATCAACTAAATATATTTAAGAATAGATACTAAATACCCA